AAGTAGTTTTAATTTGCATTTCTCTAATTGCTTCAGATGTTGAACATTTTTTTGTATATTTGTTGATTGATTGTATATCATCTTTTGAGAGGTGTCTGTTCAGTTCCTTGGCCCATTTATTCATTGAGCTATTTGTTGTTTTTTGTTGTTGTTGTTGTTGTTTGTTTTGTTTGGTGTTTAGCTTTTTGAGTTCCTTATATACTCTAGAGATTAGCACTCTATCCATTGTAAGAGTGGTAAAAATTTGCTCCCAAGATGTTTCTTTTGCTCAGAAGAAGCTTTTGAATCCATCCCATTTATTAATTTTTAAATTTTAATTCTTGCATTATAGGAGTATTATTAAGGAAGTTGGGGCCTAATCTGACATGATAGAGATTTGGGCCTACTTTATCTTTTAATAGGCACAATGTCTCTGATTTAATTCTTAGATCCTTGATCCACTTTGAGTTGAGTTTTGTGAATGGTGAGAGAGAGGGCTTTAATTTCATTTTGTTGCATATGGATTTCCAGTTTTCCCAGCACCATTTGTTGAAGATACTATCTTTTCTCCAATATGTTTTGGCAACTTTGTATAATATAACAGTAATTATGTGGGATAGTCTCTGTGTCCTCTATTCTGTACCACTGGTCTACCATTGTATTTTGGTGCCAATAACATGCTATTTTTGTTACTATTGCTCTATAGTATAGTTTAAGATCTTGTATATTGATACCATCTGCCTCACTCTTCCTGCTAAGGATTGCTTTAGTGATTCTGGGTTTCTTATTTTTTCCAGATGAATTTCATGACCACTTTTTTATTTCTATGAGAAATTTCATTGGGGTTTTGATTGGAATTCCATTAAATCTGTATAGTGCTTTTGGTAATATGGTCATTTTGATAATATTAATTTTGCCTATCCAAGAACAATGGAGATTTTTCCATCTTCTAAAGATTTCTTTACATATGTAAATCAATGGAAGTGTAACTGATGTGATACAGCAATCTGTATACAGGGTAAAAATTGGAGTTCATAACCCACTTGAATCAAACTGTGAAATATGATATATTAAGAACTGTGTAATGTTTTGAACTACCAACAATAAAAAAAATAAAGGAGATACATCAAAGGCAGGGAAAAAAAAGATTTCTTTAATTTCTTTCTTTAGCCTTCTATTGTTTTGTTGTAGTGGTCTTTAACCTCTTTTGTTAGGTTAATTCCCAAGTATTTTATTTTGGGAGGAGGCTATCACAAATAGGGTAGTTTTCCTC